CCTTTTTGCTCTGGTTTGGGGTTCCCTCCCCCTTTTTGCTCTGGTTCGGGGTTCCCTCCGCCTTTTTGCTCTGGTTCGGGGTGCCCTCCGCCTTTTTGCTCTGGTTTGGGGTGCCCTCCGCCTTTTTGCTCTGGTTTGGGGTTCCCTCCCCCTTTTTGCTCTGGTTCGGGGTTCCCTCCCCCTTTTTGTTCTGGTTCGGGGTTCCCTCTGCCTTTTTGCCCTGGTTCTGGGCCCCTTCCACTGGTTTGCCCTGGTTGGGGGCCCCCTCTGCCTTTTTGCCCTGATTCTGAGCTCCCTCCACTTTTTTGCCCTGATTCTGGGTTCCCTCCCCCTTTTTGCTCTGGTTCGGGGTTCCCTCTGCCTTTTTGCCCTGGTTCTGGGCCCCTTCCACTTTTTTGCCCTGATTCTGGGCCCCATCTGTCTTTTTGCTCTGGTTTGGGGTACCCTCTGCCTTTTTGCTCTGGTTTGGGGTACCCTCTGCCTTTTTGCTCTGGTTTGGGGTACCCTCTGCCTTTTTGCTCTGGTTAGGGGTTCCCTCTGACTTTTTGCCCTGGTTTGGGTTGCTCTCTAACTTTGTGTTCTGGTTTGGGGTTCCCTCTGACTTTTTGCCTTGGTTTGGGGTACCCTCTGACTTTTTGCCCTGGTTCGGGGTGCCCTCTGACTTTTTGCCCTGGTTTGGGGTTCCTTCTGACTTTCTGCCCTGGTTTGGGGTTCCCTCTCCCTTTTTGCTCTGGTTCAGGGTTCCCTCTGACTTTTTGCCCTGGTTTGGGGTTCCCTCTGACTTTTTACCCTGGTTTGGGGTTCCCTCTGACTTTTTGCTCTGGTTCTGGGCCCCCTCTGCCTTTCTGCCCGGTGCAGTGCCAGTGGCTGGAGTACTGGCCTTGGCACCCACTGGGGGCACAGCCACCATAGGCACCTCCTTGGGAGCAGCTTCTAAGACAGCAGCCTTGGAGGTGAGAACCTGGATGGAATTCACTACAGAACTGACTGCTGGTTCCACCTTTGCCACTTTTTTCTCCTTCTTCTTTTTGTCCTTAGGGGAGGAGGCCGCCTTGTCTTGGGGCATGGCTGGTACCGCGGCTACAGGAGCAGAGACCACAGGCAGCTGGACTGGGGTTGGTGCCACAGCCACTGCAGGTGCCCGCACTGGGTCTTTGAGGAGGATGGTCAGGTTGGGGGATGGCTCATGGTCAGGTATCTTCCCATTGGGTTTCTCTTCCTTTTTCTTGGTCTTTCCTTTCTTCTCTACTGTTTTCTCCTTCTTTTTCTTCTCTACTTTCTGGTAGTGAGTTTTCGCCATCTCCTTGCGCTGATTGGCTAGGGCTTCTTCATATGACGTCTCCTTCATGGAGAAGGTTGACACCAGGAAGATGCCGATGGCGGAAACAACCATAAATCCACCAAAGACCACAACCCCCAAGGTTTGAGTGTCGTAAAAATCCATCCTGGCTTGCTTTCCTTTCACCTGCCAGATACATACACGTAGATTACTTTTTGTAGAAACTGAGGCATTTGACAGTTTCCATCCCCACCTCCACCCCCAAAGGTAACGTTTCACTAATTCTTTAGACTGACAAAGTCAAAGAAGAAAAAAACCCAGGCAATCTTTGATGTCACACATTCTTACCTGCCCCTCTTTAGAAGTGAGAGATTTTTATGCAAGATATGAGCAGGCCCTATTAGTGTTGGGAGCTACAAAGCATAGAGAGATGGTAGAGTGCAGGTCTATAACTGGGGCACATAGCGCCCAAAAGACTTAGAAGCCATGATCACAATTCAGGATATTCCCTACTGCAGGGGTCAAAGATGCACATGAGCAGAAGCACAGTCCAGGTGTGATAAAATGGGGAGCAGTGAGGACTCTGGCAAAAATGCCCCACTCAAATTAGGGAGCAAGTGTCACCAAGCCCTAGCTAATTGTTGTAGAAATGTAAGCACTGTGTTGAGAGATCTTTTGCTTTTTCACATTAGGCCAGAAATCTTTTTTTCTCAATGTGAAATTGACTGATTTAAGAAATCCCAAATCAAGCAAACCAAACCCGTCTGCAGGCTCTCAGTTGCATGCATTCTGGCCAGCAGGCCCCTAGCATGCCATCACTACTCTGTTGCCTTCCTTTCCCCAGTGCTAATAAACACAACCACCCACGGTCAGAGATGAGAAACTCTGCACTACAATCCTGAAAGATGATCAAGAATTTAGGGAGGAAAAATGGCCTTTTGCCAGTGAAGAGTTACGGAACCTGCAATTCACACATTAGGAAACAGGAAGTATCAGTCTTCAGAAGCCCACCACACAAAAGACTCCAGGTTTGGAATTTCATATCTAGAGGCTTCGAAGAGGGAGGGAGGACAGTGCCAACAGTCCCAATCCTCGCCCTGGGGAGGCGGCCCTTTGCCTGGCGACACCCTCCAAACCAAGAGGACAAACCACCCCTTCTCACTGCCCATGGACCAAAGTCCAAAGGGTCAGAGGCAGCCAGGTCCACACCTTCCTGACTGACAGCCCAGGCAAAGTTCAACTTCAGTGAGGAACTCCAAGAGGTCTTATTTACCTGGATACACTCAACTTTTACCAACTAATTTTGATGCTATTACCAAATTCCCAGTCCCCTGAGCTGGAGAGTGAGAAACAGAGCATACGCCCCTTAAAGAAGATCAGCGATGGAATCAGTGAACAGAATGCGAGAGTGAGAAGGGCTAAGGGAAGGTGGAAAGAGAAAAGGGAGTGGAGGGGAGAAGTGAACGGCATGATCGGTACCCCACTTGCATGAACCCCCAAAATCTCTAGCCTCTGTGGTAGGCCAGGTCCAGGGCTCTCTCCCGTTGGGAGTGGGGGGGAAACAGAGTGGGAATTTCTAAATAACAATCATGAAATCCAAATTTTGACATTAGGGCATTGTAAAGGGACTAAGAGATTGTTTTAAATGTCTCAGCATTATGTTTTAAGAAAAATCACTTTCATCACCGAACAACACACGATTTCACTGTGCCTTTCAAATAAAACCCTTGCAAGAGGGTTTAAAATGCACTCCTGACAAAACTTCACAGCATGTGCTTTCCACAGTGGTAACTCCACCAGCTGCAGCTGTGACACCTACTTCTTCCAGAATATCACTCTGGGTCTGCAGGACCCAGTCAAACTCTTCATTCCAGTAGTAACCTCTGCAAAGAAGTCCCAGGCGGGCTCATGGAGCCTTTGAATTCTAGGCAAGTGGATTCTGACCCCTGGCCATGGGTTACAACAGCATGATCCACAGCCACAGTGCCCTCATATGTGACAGTCAAGAGAAGCTGTCCCCAATTGGCCCTTCCAGGAATACACTCACAAGCTAACTGCTGAAAAGGAAACTATGCCCCACTCAGCCCTGGAGGGATCTTGTGGGTGGGAAGACAGGGACAAAAGGCTTCAAACGTTCTATGTGCAACCTCCATTTCTTGGTGGGCATCCACCAACCAAAACTCTGGGTCCTCACAAGGACCTCTCAGAACTTTGCCAATGTGGACACATTCACGTGCAAAAACTACATTATAATCACTATATTCAGTCTATTCAGATGACAAAAATCCTCTGAAACATTCCCCGTCTCCAGAGGCAGCATAACGTCAGGGACCTGGGTCCCCCTGGCTCCATAGCCCTGAGTGGCTTCCCAACCAACAACTATGCGCTCGAGGGGCGGTTTCCCGTGGAGCCGCAGGGTCACCAGGCCGATGAGGTCACGGGCCTCCTACAGTGGGGCCTGCTCCCTGCCTAGCACTGCAGGCTCTGTGCAGACACATGGTTTAGGCAGAAAAGCCAGGGTTGAAAAATCAGCCTTTAATCTTACTAGGTTAGGCAAACATGGGTACAAAAACATATTCTCTTTTGAGAGAACAGAATTGAGAAAAGCAAGCCTGGGAGAACATTTTTCCTCTGTGGCGCACCTAACTGTACGGTTTTTTTTTTGTTTTTTTTGTTTGTTTGTGAGGAAGATCAGCCCTGAGCTAACGTCCACGCCAATCCTCCTCTTTTTGCTGAGGAAGACCGGCTCTGAGCTAACATCTGTGCCCACCTTCCTCCACTTTATGTGGGACGCCGCCACAGCATGGCCTGACAAGCGGTGCGTCAGTGCGTGCCAGGGATCCGAACTCGGGCCACCAGCAGCACAGTGCGCACACTTAACTGCTACGCCACAGGGCCGGACCCCCACATAACTGTATGTTTGATAGCAGCACAAATGTGTCTTCCCAATTTCTGCAGAATGGGCTGCTCCAAAAAGGAATTACATCCTCACCACTAATTTCTGAGTTAGAATTTCTTTAAAAGAAATCTTTCACAGGAAAATGAAAAGCCCTAGTGTTAAGTAGCAATATGCTGAAACATTTAAGGCTAAGGCCATGTCACCTCAGAATCTAAACGAAAGCCAGCCTTCCTGCCACTCTGCAGCGTCAGCTCAGCTGGGGTAGACACACCATGGGAGACCCCTGACTCACGGGCACGACAGAGCCAGCAATGCTTCCAAATGTGCTCTAAGATCAGCACTCGAGGGGCCTTGCTTCTGAACTCATCACCACTCATCACTGTGACAGAAGGACCCCCAGCAGGAATCTCCCCCACGGCCACACCCAGGTAGGCAAAGAATTAGGCCACATGTGTGCCCGCCCATATCCTGTATGGGCTGACCACAAAGAACCCACATTCTGTCAATTCCAGAAACTTCTACGAAATATGTACTTTGACTTACTATTGCTAGCACGGTTAGAGTGTAAAGCAGAAAGGTGAAGAAAGCAGGAGGCCACCAGTGGGCTCGGGGACCACTCCCAGGCTTGGCTGGTGGAAACTCACTGGCCCACCTTGAGGGTCTTGAGAGAATAGCTTTTCTTCTGTTCCTAGGGGTAAGAGTTGAGGGAACAAAAATAAGTGGAAGCCCCAAATCTTTTAGACATGGAATATAGGCCTGTGGCCTGGCCAGTCCAGTCCAGTTTGGTAATTGGGATTTGGGTAGGTTTTATGAAAGAAGCCTGGGGCTAGGTCTCATCACTAGCCAGCTGCTCTGCCGTGGGCCACGTGTGGGGGGGCTCCAGATCCATTTCCTGGGCACAAGGTGACCCATCAGGAAAAGTTTAGGAAACCAAAACAGAATGACAATGACCAGAGACCCTGACAGATACAGCTGCACCAGGATCACCACCTCCTGATTTTTTGAATATTATAAAATATTTCAAATAGACAAAAGAGTAAGAATAATATTGTGAATATCCGTTTACCCACCACCCAGGTTTATCAAATATGTCTATCATCTCTCCTTCCAGAGAAAACCAGCACCCAGAATGTGTCACTAAGCACCTCCACTCATGTTTACGCTTACATTACAAATGTATCTCCACAAACAAAACCCAGTATTGCTTCAGTGTTGGTTAATGCTATAGAAATGACACTACTGTAGGTTATCATTGGGCAACACTTTTTGAATTAAACTTTGTTTTTGATATTTATTTGTATAAATACACAGTTTTAGTTCATTTTAACTCCTATGTTATGTAACCAGATCACAAATGGAAATGGGTCCATATTCCTACCAGGCATTTAGGTTTTAAAAACGTATGCTATTCACACAGAACTGTAATGTGACATGTGTCCCAGCTTCCCTGTCCCCTGTACAGATTCCTCAAGGATGTACCTAGAACTGGACCTGCTGGGTCACGGGGGGGGCATGGTTACGCCACCAGTCGCTGCCCAACTGCTCCACAAAGGCGTAGTTCCGCAAAGGCCTCCTCCCTCCACCTCTCTGTCAATGTTTCCTACTGTGGTCAAACCTGAGACACGGCCCAGTTGAATGGAGGTGACATCGTATCTCCCACGGCTACTAGCCCTTCCGATTTCTTTTACTGTCTGCTACCTGCTCATATCTTTTGCCCATTTTTCTAGTGGGTTGTCTTTTTTTTTTCTGATTTATAGGTGTCCTTTACATATTTTGGATATTAATCATTTATTGTTTTAGACATGTTGAAGTCTATGGTTTCTCTTTCAACCAATATAGTGGTTTTCAAATTACCTATTAATGGAGTCCAATTTACTAACATTTGCCTTTATGGTTTGTCATTCTTGTTTCACAGCTACTACCCTACTGCCATAGGGAGAATCAGTTTCCTTTCTCTTTTTTTTATGGAAAAAGTGTTACTATCCTTTAAACTTAAATAATCACTCATTTATGTTGGATAGAGGCAATACATCCCTCCAGGTCAAGACTCAAAAAGAACGAGATGGTTCATATAGAGTGAAAAATCTCCCTTACACCCGTGACCCCCTGCCACCCAGGTTCCAACCATTATGAACAGAGTCATCTTATTGTTTAGAAATTATTTTCTTCTAAAAACCTCAGTAATGCTTTTCATGGTTTTTTAATCACCTGGAATTTGCTTTGGCAAATGATAAGAAATAGTGTCATAACTTTTCCCCATCAGTTTAATGACCCAGCACCATTTCCTGACTGGTCTACCCCCAA